CAGATGTCCTACTAAGGCACTCAAGGACAAAACTCCTTTCGAAGCATATAGTGGAAGAAAACCAGGTGTTGCTCATTTGAAGGTATTTGGCAGTGTGTGTTTTGTGCATAAACCAGAAGAAAGTAGACAGAAATTGGATGCCAAAAGCACAAGGGGAGTGTTTGTTGGTTATGCAACATGTGAGAAGGGTTATAGAGTGTTTGATCCTGTAACTAGAAACTTCTACTGTCAAGAGATGTTGTTTTTGATGAAGGAGCAACCTGGAATTGGAAGGAAGCAATTGAAAATTCAGTGGTGATGGTGAATCATGAAGAGCAGCCTAGGAATTCTCAAGTGGAATTGTTTGACACACCTGTTGGAAATTGAAATTCTGGTTTCATACCTATAGACTCAGTTCCCTATGAAGAATCAAGCAGGGCAGGCAGCAGATTGGAAGACACTCAGGGCTTTGATCACACTCCATTGAAATGGAGGAAGTTGGATGATATTTTAGCACAATGTAATCAGTGCACAATGGAACCTGAGAAGTTTGATGAAGCTGTGAAGGATGAGTCATGGATGAAGGCAATGAGAGATGAATTGAACATGATAGAGAAGAATGATACATGGGAGCTTGTTCATAGACCTATGGACAAACCAGTGATTGGAGTTAAATGGGTGTTTAAAACTAAGCTAAATCTGGACGGTTCAGTGCAGAAGAATAAGGCAAGGTTAGTGGCCAAAGGATACTCTCAGAAACCAGGGGTGGACTACAATGAAACATTTGCTCCAGTGGCTAGATTAGACACAATCCAGACTCTAATTGCACTTGCAGCTCAGAAGGGTTGGCAGCTGTATCAATTAGATGTTAAGTCAGCTTTCCTAAATGGCATCTTAGAAGAAGAAGTGTATGTAGATCATCCGGAGGGATTTGTGGTGAAGGGGAGTGAATGCAAGGTTTACAAGCTACACAAAGCTCTATATGGCTTGAAACAGGCGCCTAGAGCTTGGTATAGTGAAATTGATGGTTATTTTGCTGAGTGTGGTTTCACAAAGAGCCAAAGTGAAGCTACTCTTTATGTCAAAACAAGAGGTGCATCAAGCATCTTGATAGTATCCATTTATGTAGATGATATAATCTACACTGGAAATGATCAAGAAATGTTAGAAGATTTCAAGAAGGACATGAAGGAGAAATATGAAATGACAGATTTGGGACTCTTGCACCACTTCTTGGGAATGGGAGTAATTCAAACTCCAACAAGCATATTCATTCATTAGAAGAAATATGCAACAACTCTGTTAAGTAGATTTGGTTTGAGTGAGTGTAAGCCGGTATCTATTCCACTAGTCACCTCAGAGAAGCTAAGTAAGGATGATGGAAGTGGCTTGGCAAGTGAAGAGCAATACAGAAAGATTGTTGGAAGTCTGCTGTATCTCACAGCTACTAGACCCGACATCATGTTTGCAGCTAGTTTGCTTGCAAGGTTCATGCATTGTCCCACTAGCAAACATCTTGGAACAACAAAACGTGTTCTTAGATATGTAAAAGGAACTCTGGATTATGGTCTGGAGTATGTGAAAGGAAAAGAGGCAGTCCTAATTGGCTATTGTGACAGTGATTGGAGTGGTTCAGTGGATGATAGCAAGAGCACCTCTGGATATGCCTTTTCTTTTGGTAGTGGAGTGTTTGCTTGGGCCTCAGTCAAGCAAAATTGTGTTGCACTCTCTACTGTAGAAGCGGAATACATCAGTGCCTCTGAAGCCACAACACAAGCTATTTGGTTGAGATTTGTCCTAGAAGACTTTGGAGAACTTCAAACCGAAGCTACACCTCTACACTGTGACAACATTTCAGCTATTGCCATTACAAGGAATCCTGTGTTTCATCAGAAAACCAAGCATATTGATCGGAGGTATCATTTTATTAAAGATGCTTTGCAAGAAGGAATTGTGGACTTGATCTATTGTCCTACAAATGAACAGTTAGCGGATATCTTTACAAAGGCTTTGGCTAAGGATCGTTTCTGCTATCTCAGAGAGAAACTTGGTGTGAAATCAGCTCACAACTTAAAGGGGAGTGTTGAAATGTAAGTGGTGAGCTGATAAGAATGTAATTAAGCCTCTAAGCTAAAATGGTGTATTCACTTACTCACTAAGTTAGACAAGTGTTAGGCATTAGTCATGAAAAGTGGTGATAGCCACGTGTAATGATCCTAGAGAGCAGTTTTGGATGTAAGGCTGAGATTCTCAGTGATGTCAGAGAATCCAGCTATTCTCTCTAACGGTCACATATAGAACACACAGTGCTTGCTTGTTTTTAGTCAGAGCATGCAATAGAAAAATACATACTCAATTCGATTTACTCAGAGCTCTCTTCTCTCTCTGCATTTTCTCTCTTCTTCTCCCTTCAACCTATTAAAAACTCTAACATCTCGCACATCTTATGGATCAGTCAGCCAACTTTAAAGAAGTATTAGCTGCTGCTTCAAATTAAAACGTAGAGTAGAGACTCAATTTTTTTCTTTGTTGCTGCTGCCTCTTCGGCTCCACCTGGGATACATTGACCATGTACAGGTTGCCTGCAAATCTGAGATCGCAATTGCTATAATGTCTCAATGAAGCAGAGTCCGAGCTCATTGGCCACCATTTTCTTCATCCTCTGCCTTCATCAAGGTTAGTGGCTCTTCTTGTCCCTTTCTCCAGTTCCATGTTCTTTGTTCAACGGATATAATTGAGACCCAGCTAGGTGGTTCAGTAGGTCAAAAGTTGATAGCAACCCTCCAATTGATCCAAGAACTCAAATTTCTGAAATCTCAATTCTGTAGTAGAAAAGTATGAATAAAATTCCAACTCTCACTATATTGAGCTCTAATAGGTTCATTGCTCAGCTAATAATTTGCTTAATTAATTGTGGATTTCAATTGAAAAGGTAAAAGAAACCATATTCTGCATCAGATTCAGAATATGAGTTTCATCTTTCTACCTCTTCTTCTTCTTCTTCCAAGGAACACCAAAAAGTCACATATCACATAGGAGGCTGTGTTTTCCAGTTTCCTCTGCAAGAAAATAATGTGGCATTGGATACCAACCCCAGCAATAGAAGACTTTTTAGATGATGATGAGGCAGCAACTATCTGTTTGTCTTCACGGGGTTGGAATTTGGCTCAGAAAGGAAACCCCCAAGTCCTTTTAGACAGAAAGCATATAACAAAATAATATCAATAAAATACAGAGAGAGATTTGACATTAGATTTTATAAAGACACAAGGATGGATGGCTGTATCTACCCCACACCCCTGCATACATTTAGAGCCGAGTGTCATGGGGAGTTGTTTTGTATTGTCTTGGACTTGTTTGTTGGACACATTCGAATGAGAGAAGCACTGTTTTCTATTCTTTGCTAGCAGTGCAAAGAATTCGATAATTGCAAAACTACAAGAACATCAAAACTGTGAACAGCACATGAAAATTTTCACAACTTCACTCACTTCCCTGAAGACTGTCATTTGTTGTATTATATGCTGTTGTAAAGTATGTGCCACATAAATAGGTCAACATCTGATTCAAATCAGCACATTGGCACTCAGATCTCTGGCCCAAAAGAGTTTATCATATTTTGGGTTTTCTTGAAAAGTTGCTCTCTCTCTCTCTCTCTCTCTCTCTCTCTCTCTCTCTCTCTCTCTCTCTCTCTCTCTCTCTCTCTCTCTCTCTCTCTCTCTCTCTCTCTCTCTCTCTCTCTCTCTCTCTCTCTCTCTCTCTCTCTCTCTCTCTCTCTCTCTCTCTCTCTCTCTCTCTCTCTCTCTCTCTCTCTCTCTCTCTCTCTCTCTCTCTCTCTCTCTCTCTCTCTCTCTCTCTCTCTCTCTCTCTCTCTCTCTCTCTCTCTCTCTCTCTCTCTCTCTCTCTCTCTCTCTCTCTCTCTCTCTCTCTCTCTCTCTCTCTCTCTCTCTCTCTCTCTCTCTCTCTCTCTCTCTCTCTCTCTCTCTCTCTCTCTCTCTCTCTCTCTCTCTCTCTCTCTCTCTCTCTCTCTCTCTCTCTCTCTCTCTCTCTCTCTCTCTCTCTCTCTCTCTCTCTCTCTCTCTCTCTCTCTCTCTCTCTCTCTCTCTCTCTCTCATGTGTTTAGTATTTATTTTTTGCTTTTTAATATGATATTCTTTGGGGGTTAGGAAAGTCAAGAAGAATAAACTAAGCATTCATTGAGAGACTCTTTGAACAATCACATAGGGATAGGGTTGAGAACTTGGAAACAATGTGATCCAAACAAACAAGCAGCAGAGAAAAGGTAAACAGAAAAAGACTTGGAAAACAAACAATGAAATTACAGCCAGAGTTGACATACTAGCCTAACTGCTCTTTTAGCTACAAGTGAACCACTGTGGAATCTATGGCTTCACCTGTTTGGGAAATTTAGCCACAAATGCTTGTAGGTTTTCTTTGTGGCCTTGTTCTTGCCATGGGATATATTAAGGGTGTGTTGGTCATTCAAAAGTTTTCATGGGGTATTTTTGGAAGGAAATTTCCTAATTCATGTTACAAAGTGATTACAAGATACAACCAAAAATCTTCTGGTGGTAAACAAGTAAATCAAGGCAGCAATGCAAGTAAAATTTTGGCTTCAACATTTTAAAATCATGTGTCTTTCTTAATAAGAATCAAGAGAAGAACAGAGAAGGCAGAGAAGGACAGAGAAGAACCTCAAGAGAGTTGGCAAATTACCTACTGGCTGCAAAGTAAGCATTAAGCATCCAAATATTGGGTACTTAATTAAGAACAACAATACAGGAAATCAAAGAAACTAAGCAAACAGGAAACAGAAAATGTAGTTCGTAGCTAGTCGAAAACGTACACTACTTTTTTGTACTCGTACAGAAACATATTACAACTTACAGCACCACAAATTAATACAAGCAAATTACACCACCACCCTTATTGTAATAAAACAGAATGCACCAGACCCCATACAAGAATTCTAAACAACAACAGCAACAGCTGCAAGATAAACATGGATTTAAAATAAGTACTTAGTTTCTGTGTCCTCTCCTTCCCCGGGTGCCTCTTGGCTGCCTCTTCCTGCTAAATTTCTCTGAAAACCATTCATGATTCTTGCTTGTCCAAAAGTTCCCAGCAACCACTCCAACTATTAGACCACTAACAACTCCTGGCAGAACCACATACCAATCTAGTGCAATTTGAAACCCGGAATCTTCATCTTCTTCAAAGACTGATGGCGGTGGCAATATTGAGCTATCACATTTCTTTGACAAAGGCTTTCCACACAGACCTGAGTTTCCTTGGTATGAATCTTCTAGGAATGTACCAAATTGTTGGTCAAGTGGTATAGGACCCCAAAGATGGTTATCGGATACATTGAAATATGCGAGGAAAGTGAGTTGTGCCAAATTACTGGGGATCCTTCCTGAGAGCCGGTTTCGGGAGAGATCCAATGATTCAAGAGCCGTCAAGTTCCTTAAAGATGACGGGATGAGACCAGTGAGAGTGTTGTTGGAAAGGTTAAGCAAAATAAGGCCTCTTAGATTCCCAATGACACCTGCTGGAATCTCTCCTTCAAATCTATTACTTGAGAAATCTATCAATCTTAGAAGATAAGGGGTCTTCATATATTTCAACTCAACACCTTTTGCAGAAATCGTGATCGAGTATGGATAAGGATAGAAATATCTAGATGTGCCGTCTGACTTCAGAAGGACTTCAAAATAAGATCGCTGATTCTTGTCAACAAATTTCATGGAATTCCAGTTCTCTAAGTAGTTAGAGGGTAACATACCTGAAAAACCGTTGTTAGATAAATCAATGATGCACAACTTTGGGAAGTCATGGTTAGTTGCAGACTTCCCAATCATGCCATGAAATCGATTGGACCTCAAAATGAGAGCCCTTAATGCTGGAAGTGCTCCTAACCAAGATGGGAAGATGTCGCTTATCTGATTGTTTTCAAGATTAAGAAACTCTAATTGAGTGCAATTGGCCATTGATCTTGGTATCTTCCCCTGTAACTGATTGTAACTTAAATCAACCATTTTCAAACTATTGTCGTCTGCACACATATGAGGAATACTGCCATGAAAAGAATTGTTCTTCAGCATCAATATTCCAAGAGCACTGGAGTTCCCCAAACATTGTGGAAGCATGCCACTCAGGCCGTTGTAGGACAAATCAAGAATCTGCAAATGATTCAAGTTGCAGAACGATGGCGAAATTTCTCCACTATAATGATTGCTGCCGACCATATAGTATTTGATTGATTGTGGTGGAATTGGCAGTGATCCTTGTAACATATTGGTCCCGAGATCTAAATCATATAGATTCTGCCATGGAAGATTGATTGGATTTTGGTCAAATCCCGTTAAGAAGTTGGAAGAGAGGTTGAGAATCAACAAAGTTTCTCTAGTTGCATTCCACACCCATTTTGGTATTCGCCCTTGAATGTTGTTGTCGCTAAGTTGTAACTCTTGCAATTTGGATTGATATTTTAAAAATTCTGGAAACTCTGTTAAGTTGCATGAATTCAACTCTAGAGCTCGAAGCTGTGGAATAGTAGCACTCAAATTGGTTATGATCTTCAGAGATAACTTGTTGTATGATAATCGAAGATACTTTAACTTTTGGGGCTGGGAAAACTGATCAAACTCAACTTGTCCACTCAAGCTATTAGAGTTAAGGTGAAGAAATTTAAGATTTTTGAGCTGGAAGAGTGACCTAGGAATTGCTCCTTGCAAATTGTTACCCCAGAGGTATAGAGTAGTTAACTGGGTCAAATTCATAAGCCAAGATGGGATTTGACCAGTTATTTTGTTATTCTCCAAGTATAGAAATGAAAGTTGCGTGAGGTTAGCCACAAAACTTGGGAATTTTCCCCTGAATTTGGTGGACCCAAGGAGCAAACTGTAGAGGTTGGTTAAATTGGCTATCCAAGACAAGGAATATTCAGAAACTAATTGGCCTGTGGAATTATTATTTGGAACGTCATAAAATCCACTCATGTCAAGGTAGTTGAGCTGGGTAAGGTTTCCGAGTGAAGATGGAATAAGGGGGTAAAAATGACACCAAGAGATGTCCAACAAATTTAAGGAATGAAGGTTTCCGAGTGAAGATGGAAGATAGTGGGAAAACTTACAATAGGAGATGTCCAACAAATTTAAGGAATGGAGGTTTCCGATAGAAGCAGGTAGCATGCCAGAGAAATTTGTGGACGCAACATTCAATTTCTTCAAGAGATTATTGCTCCTGTTAAAGTTGGGGAAATAACCGGTGAGGTTTGAGTTACCTTCCACTTCCAGAACCTCTAAGTTTGGTAGGTGGAAGATGCCAATTGGGAATTCCCCATTCAACCCACAATTCGCAAGTTTGAGAGATGTGAGAGAAGATGCATTGACCAAGATATCAGGCACAGAGGAGTACATCTCTACCTGACTAAGATGAAGTTGTTTTATGGCGGTCAAGTTCTGAACCAGGCTTCTCATGTTGGCCTTGGTCAGTTTCAAAGGGAAACTATCATCAGCTTTCTGATAATTGAGCGACATATCAAGGGTAGACAGCTTCGATAACTTTGAAATTTCTGATGGAATTTCGCCAGAGAATAAGGAATTTGAAAGGTTGAGATATGTTAGACTCGAAAGATCATGACCAAATCTTGATGGTATTTGAGAGAAATTGAAGTGATTATCTGAGAGGTCAAGCCTCTGCAAGTGAACAAGGCGGAAGAGAGTGTTGCTGGAATTGATAGAACCGTAGAGACAGCTGCTACGGAGATCAAGGCCGACAACATGGCCAAAGTCTTCATCACACTCAACACCATCCCATGAACAACAATTACTCCGATTCCCATCTCCTTCTCGCTTCCAAAATGAAACCTTCGGATAAGCAAGAGGATCTGCAGAAACAGACTTCTTAATTGCAAAGCTTTCCTTGAACTGCAGCAAGGCTGAGCACTCATCAACCTGCCCAAGTGCCTGAGTCTGCACAAATAAAAAACATTGAGTAGCAATGAGTGACAGAAAAATAAAACAACGTAGAGAAATGAACTTGGACCGCCACGATTCCATTCCCATTGCAATTTTGTTTTCTAATTATGTATGCTTAATTATGGCTCTCACACAATTAAGGGTGGAGAAATTATAAGCTCCTTTTATAGACGCACAACTCATGACAAACGTAGTTGTAACTAGAGAAAGTAAAAAAAAAGTCTTTAAAGTCTTAAAGCTGGTTCTAACTTCTACCAGAAAAATAAGTCTTATTAATTTCTTTGGCGCTTTCAACAACTAATCTTCTGTTGTGTGGTTTTTTCATTTGTTTTGTTCTTTTGGTATTTTTGCTTCCTGTTCTTGTTTTTAGTTCTTTGGTACGTTGTGTCTCTCCTGTCTACTAAACGAACCCTAAAATTAATTGAGTACACCCAATGATCTAAGTACACCCTAATATTTTAATCAAAATGTAAAATTAACTAAGTACACCCTATTTAACTACCAAAAATACCCCTACACCCTAATACACTATATCACACAATACCCTAATGCCAATCCTAAGTAGTTAATTATGAGTAGTTAATTCATCAAATGAAACAGACCTAGTTCATAATTGGCCAAGAAATTGACAAATTCATTATAATCTTTGAAAAAATCAAATCAGACCAAATCAAAATACACAGAGATAGCACAGAAAAAAACAAGAGACCGTTTACACTTATACCCGAGATCCTAGAAAAGAATATGGGGTGAGCCCAAGACGAAGATCAAAGAGGCCAAGAAATCACACTTTCCTCTACTTCTTTTTGGTTCTTCTGTGACCCCCCAAAAACCCATCTCTCTCTCTCTCTCTCTTCATTTCCATGCTTTTAACTTCTTTGCCATTTACTCTTGTTCTCAAGATATCAACCATTGTTATTCTCTCTCTTCGTCTCCCTGTGCTTTTTGATATTGGTAATCAACTCTCCCCTATGTTATGATTCAATCTCCAAATTTGAATTATCATTTAAGTATGACATACAAATTTTAACAAAACAACAGTAATAAAATACAAACTTAAACAAAACAATAGTTTACTAACTTTATTTTTTAGTCTGGCCCTTCATAATTTTGCCAGGACAACATATGCTTTATTAATGATTCATTTTCTTTGATCGCATTATCAAAATATTAACAATTACTCTTTTCATCTTTCACTTTCTAGTATCTTCGATAGAATCAAAAGTTTTCATGAAGGTAGGGAGACCAAAGTTATCTCCATTATGTCACATATTCAATCCCCACACTTGGATCCAACTATAAAGTTCGTTAAGATATGTAAATTCACAAAATTTATACGCAACGTACTATAATGTAATTTTTGACAAAACAATAGTTTACTTTCTAATCCGTCCTTAGATAATTTTTTCAAGACAACATATATTTTTATTTTACTAAATTTGTGCACTTAGTTATTTATAAGCATCACCAAAAGCAACGCATAGTGCTTTAACTTCGCGGAAAGAAACAGAAGCCACAAAATTTATCGACAAGTGAGTTTCTTTAACTAAGAGAATCTTGTTTTTCTGCATATACTTTATCAATTATGTCATGTGTGGATACTATATGCACAAGGAAATATAGTATGTAATGTTTTAACTATGTGACAAGAAATAAAAAACAAGACTTGTGTATAGGAATTAAATAAAAAACAAATTATTTGATTTATGAAGAAAGAAATTGAAGTGGTCCCTAATTGTATTTTCACAAGTGAATAGGAATTATCTTAATTTATATATTTGATCAGAAATGCAATAGGAAAGAAAAATAGTATCGTTGGATTTTCTCATAAAAGAAAACTTGGTGCGTATGCTGAGGCCCCGTTTGGTTCATGGAATGAATTTGATGGGAAATCATTTCCCATGTGTTTACCCGTTTTGATTTGTTTCCGGTAATAATAGAGTAAAGTTCCCCATTAATTCAAAGACCATTGTTTGGTCAATAAATTAACTTTCTTTATGTGTTGAGCGTGCCACTGTTAGCAAATTTTTCAATTCTAACAGACTCGAGAGTAAAAATAACTTGCGCCCCAAGCTACTGACTTTGAACAAACGATTGTGAATTTGGGTGAGGAATATCTCCCAAGTAAGTTCTTTTCTATGCCTTAGACTGGCAAGGACTTTATAATTTTCCTCAATATAAAACCGGTAGTTCTGACCAGAATAACTGATAACAGACTGAACTAATTTCAGGCAGAACTCCCCTTTTCAAGACTCAAAAAGGGAAAACTGACTATACAAAGACAAAAAGAGGGCTGTACTTCCGTTTCTGGTTGGGTAGTTGCCTCTGTTCTGGACTGGACTGGATGTTAAACAACTTCAAGTGCTGGACTCCGGCTGCAAATCGATACCAAAGCTTGATTTTGGTAGAGCTTTAATTCATTTCAAACCCTGGAAGGCTTTTGGATGGGCAGAACTGGGACTTCTCCAGTCTGAAAGGGACAGAAGTGGCTGGACTTGAGCTGGAGGCGTACTGTGGTACATGTGCTGCTTAGTCAGGGCTCTCCATAAATTTGTTGAGTTTTTCGTTTTGAGAAAATTCGAGTTCTGCTTGTCTTGGCTTTTGCTGAACCAAATTTGTAACGAGAGAAATCTCGTTATTGTTGACTTGTGAACTGAGATTCAAATCCGAAACAGTATTCTAACTGTCTTTGCTGGGAGAAAAAAGGATGATTCTGCAAGCTTGTTGAGAAGCTTTGGAATTGAAGTGCTTCAGACTCTAAGTCTGCTGGACTTAGTTTGAAGTTTTTGTGATTAAGTGATCATTTGGATGTTTGTGCTTTGACTGAGTTTTTTGGTTGTGTTGATTGATTGTCCTTGTCTCTGTTCACCCTCTCTTGTATATATAAGAAATGTTCTTTGAGAGTGGGCGGCAAGTAAAAAGATCTTTTTTTTAATTTTTAATTGAAATAAACAGGGGTTCCATCCATTTTCTGGCAAGTAAACACTCAACGATCAGTTCCTGAAATGACTACTTCTCTGTTTTCTTTTGATGGGGTGCCATGCCCCTCTTTCATTTCAACTGCTTTCTGAGAGTCTGAGAGTCTTGAACTGCAGCAAGGCTGAGCACTCATCAACCTGCCCAAGTGCCTGAGTCTGCACAAATAAAAAACATTGAGTAGCAATGAGTGACAGAAAAATAAAACAACGTAGAGAAATGAACTTGGACCGCCACGATTCCATTCCCATTGCAATTTTGTTTTGTAATTATGTATGCTTAATTATGGTTCTCACACAATTAAGGGTGGAGAAATTATAAACTCCTTTTATAGACGCACAACTCATGAAAAACGTACTTGAAACTAGAGAAAGTATAAAAAAGTAAATAAAGTATTAAAACACTCCCAATCCCTTTAATTTAGTTACGAATCAAATCCCAGGCCTAAAAGTACAAAACAAGAGAATTGTGTTGAGTGGTGATAAATAGAGCAATTAACACGTAATAAATAAATCTAAAGTCGCCAAAGGAGAATAAGGAAGCATAGAAAGTGGACAACTACCCGTGACAGCTGGACAAAGACACTTCTGGAATTGAAAAAGGAGCCGTCTTTGCTTACTTGGTTACAACTTTACAAAGAATGCGTTGACATTGACTTGATATAATTTTTGAGTATGCCAACACTTAAAACAGCAGCGGAGTTAGAAAATTTTCACAAAAAGGCACCTTAGATATTAATTGAAATATATTTTTCCTTAGGATCACAATCAAACTAATTTTTTACTTTATACAAAATTCCTAAACTCCATTATTTTATATGTTTCATTAACTATCTACTCATTATCGATCCTAGCAAACAATCAAATGAAATATACTCACTAAGAAAATTTGAACGATAAGTTAGCACTACAAAATGTAGAGAAATGAACTTGGACCGCCACGATTCCATTCCCATTGCAATTTTGTTTTGTAATTATGTATGCTTAATTATGGTTCTCACACAATTAAGGGTGGAGAAATTATAAACTCCTTTTATAGACGCACAACTCATGAAAAACGTACTTGTAACTAGAGAAAGTATAAAAAAGTGAAAAAAAAGAATCGAAAAAAAAAGTAGGGGAATAAAACAGAAGAAGCCAAGAAGGTGAACATCCACAGGTAACCATTCAAAGACTTTAAAGTTCTAACTTGTACCAGAAAAGTATTTCTTTGGCGCTTTCAACAACTAAATCAACTAGCCGTCCACATCCACAAGTAACTAAAACTTTTATGCCAAATCCTATTCTGGTCATATCTACAAAATATGTCAAATTTAGTTCAGTTTAAAACTGGTAATTAGAGCAGAACAATTACAGAGCAAAATAACGAATGCAAGCTTATTACTGAGAAAGTCCTTGGCTAGCCTCTGTTTGATACCAAGTAAATAAAGTATTAAAACACTCACAATCCCTTTAATTTAGTTACGAATCCCAGGCACCAAATAGAGCAATTAACAGTGACACCTGGCGAGGGAGATTGTGGAAAGTAGACAGTATAAGTTGTTGAGTATTTTCTTCTTTCCGACCAAAAAATTTCAAAAAAGTTGCTTTATTATTATTATTATTATAAGTAAATAACGTTCAAAAGCACGAATTAAAGGAGAGGTATGAATAAAAAATGGATTAACTACACTTTAGTCCCTGGAGGTTTAGTGTCAGTCTCGAAATGGGCCCCAAGGTTTCATTTAAATCAATTTCTTACCCAACATTTCGAAGTATTACCAATTTACACCCGCTGTTACATTGACCGTCAAAGTTAGACGTTAAGTGCTGACGTGGCAGGCGTGGGACCCACCTCATAACCAAACAGCAGTTAGAAAGAGACTAGACGAAGGGCAATTTCAGCAACAAAAAATAACCAACGTTCGCCTTCTCTCTCCAACGCACGCGTTCCAAGGCAATTACTCGATTACCCAGGCTTGGAAATTGCCCTTCGTCTAGTCTCTGTCTAGTCAAGCTTCATAGATTCCACTATTACTAGTCTTTTTATGTCAACCATTAATCAAAAGTCCTTTTACTCAAGCTTTACTAGTCTTTTTACGTCAACCATTAATCAAAAGTCCTTTTACACAATGACTTGAAGTCAAGCTTCATAGATTCCACTATTACTAGTCTTTTTACGTCAACCATTAATCAAAAGTCCTTTTACTCAAGCTTGACTCCACTATTACTAGTCTTTTACATCAACCATTAATCAAAAGTCCTTTTACACAATGACTTGAAGTCAAGCTTCATAGATTCCACTATTACTAGTCTTTTTACGTCAACCATTAATCAAAAGTCCTTTTACACAATGACTTGAAGTCAAGCTTCATAGATTCCACTATTACTAGTCTTTTTACGTCAACCATTAATCAAAAGTCCTTTTACACAATGACTTGAAGTCAAGCTTCATAGATTCCACTATTACTAGTCTTTTTACGTCAACCATTAATCAAAAGTCCTTTTACACAATGACTTGAAGTCAAGCTTCATAGATTCCACTATTACTAGTCTTTTTACGTCAACCATTAATCAAAAGTCCTTTTACACAATGACTTGAAGTCAAGCTTCATAGATTCCACTATTACTAGTCTTTTTACGTCAACCATTAATCAAAAGTCCTTTTACACAATGACTTGAAGTCAAGCTTCATAGATTCCACTATTACTAGTCTTTTTACGTCAACCATTAATCAAAAGTCCTTTTACACAATGACTTGAAGTCAAGCTTCATAGATTCCACTATTACTAGTCTTTTTACGTCAACCATTAATCAAAAGTCCTTTTACTCAAGCTTGACTCCACTATTACTAGTGGACAAGTGGAGATTTCCAACAGGGAGGTGAAACACATATTAGAGAAGATTGTTGGTCCTACTCGCAAGGATTGGTCTGTGCGCCTTAATGATGGTCTCTGGG